TKSMAARGRAAAARGRAAAAAAAAAAAACACGATTATGTTTTCTGAATGGTGTGTTTGCGTAAAAAGGACAATATCTAAATCAAAATAGATGACAAGATTAATTATTTCAGGTTCAGCCTTGCTCTGAATTAGATTAAATTTCTGATATGGAACAAAATAGCCCCTAAGCCTTAAATCTACTGGTTAATTCATTTRAAGTCATTGCAGGTGCAGTATATATGCCAGGTGCTGTGCTAGGAAATGAGGAAACAGAAAGGAGGGCAGCAGACACTGCCCTGTGTTCACACAACTCACAGTCCACTGGGGAAAGGCAGACAAAAAGAGGAGAGCACATAAATAAATAAATACTGACACTCAGAAAATGCTATGAATCTGATGATCCAGGTGGGTCAGTGTCAGAGGAATTGGAGCAGGTGTCTGAGATCATATTTAAATAAGATCTGAAGGATTAAGAAGCAGCAGCCAGGCTAAAAACTGGGGAAGGGATGGGAAGAAGTGGATTCTAGGGAGAGCAGACAGTTGAACAAAGACTTTGGGAGGAGCCAGAGAGTCCTGAGCCCAGAGATTAGTGGCTCACATGAGATGGAAAGGAGGCCCAGGGCAGATCTCTCACTTCACTCTGTGTTTGTGTGTGTGTGTGTATGTGTGTGTGTGCATGCCCTTTTGTGAGTACAATAAGTTAGAATGAAGTAATTGTAACAGGACATGGACAAAATAAGATAATTTTTGTTGATATAAGCTGTAGGATTTACTAATAATGTGCAGGATGATGGGGAGGCAGTAAACCTTGGTTCCTGGCTCTCAGGCTTGAGTGACTGGATGTATGGTCCACTCTACTCAGTGAGGACACATACCAGCCCAGACACACACGATTCCAGAACTTTTGAACAAAGCAATGAGTTGAAAACCAAGTCCTCTCCATGTAAGGATCCAATGTATTTTGTACAGTCCTTTCCCATGTGAGACCCTCCTTGGGCTTCTCTGCTAGTTACTCTTGACCTTGCCACCCTGGGTGAAATGTTAGAGCCTGTAAACAAGTCAGGATGGCGCCTGGCATTTTGCCAGGGGGAGTGGTTTGTGAAGTAACACCAGGGAGCCATTAAGTGTGGAGATTCCTTATTGGTTGACTGCTGTATCTAGTTTATGTTAATTAAGATAAGCTGTGTGGAATGGATATATACCCCTCCTGTCCCACTCCTGCTGTATCGATCTACACAAGTTGCTCGTCACCCCCCTCCCCCCGTTATTTTGCTGTAGCCAGACTGCAGGACTGCAGCAAAAGCCCATTTGCTTTCACAATTCAGGGCAGCTTTGAATGGTCACAATGGTATTTGAAAAATGTCTCATTCTAAATGTAAGTCCCAATAGCAAGTTCCCCCTTGCTACTTTTGGAAACCATTTTTATTGTACATAAATCAAGGTGAGCTTTTATTATCATGAATTGTATCCTTCATGAGATCTTTAACAAAAAAGAAGGTATGAAGGATGGAATGGAAGGAGGAAATGAATTAAATGACTAACCCAAGTTATTGATAAACTCAGCATGTGAATATATATGTTGAGTTGTAGGCAGGGAAGAATGGGAAGAAGAATCAAGAATGAACATTGAATTACTTTTAGTTCATTTATTGGATTACATTGGTATGGGCAAAGCAATTCTGAAATGATTTCAGATGCATTATAAGAATGAGCAAATAAATAAATGAGATCTCTAGGAGTCAGGATTCTTGGCAAAAAAGATGGAAATACAGAATGTGGGAAATGAACAAAAAAATGCTTCAAGTATGAAGGTACCAGTGTGAATCCATGTTTTCAAAATATGTGCATGCGCACATTTAAGCACACATGTGATTTAGATGCACGTGTGTGTGTTTATATGAATGTGTAGGTGAACGTATATCCCCATTTGTGCTGATGAAATAGTCAAGAAGCAGACCCCAGCAGTGTTGGGTACACCTTTCTGCCCAGACCTTTTCCTCTCTAGGAAACTAAATGGTTAATTCCAAGAGGGGAGTATGATAAATAAAAGTCATACCCCAAACTTCATGTCATGCCAGAAGGTAAAAAAGAACTAAAACAAATAAAATTGAAGTTGGGGCATATCAAAGGATGGTAGCTATCAACTTGCCAGGACTCACACTAGCTAAAACAGGGAAAATGTGAGCACCAAAAAAAATTAAGAGTAATTATAAATTGTTGGAAAAATGTAGAATCTGGTGGTCCCACAATAAAGAAGAGAGGAAAGAGGGAGGGAAGAAGGGGCAAGGAAAAATCAAAGAGACAAAGAAAGAAGAAAGAAGGACGGTTGTGGATCACAGGAGAAAATAAGTGTTGGCTGTAAATGTGGAAGGGTGCTGGAATTTGAAAAAAAAAATCATTTTGTAACTACTGTGGTGAAGACTGAATTAGGAAAAGATCTTTGATAAATGTAAAACCCTGGGAAAATTTTTGATAAAGTGGAAGGCTGTGGGTTTGGTCTTATTGTCTCTCCACAGTTTATTATTGCCAGGGAGAAAACATAATAATTATACAGTGAAAACTGAATGACACATAGACCTACTCATCAAATTTAACCACCAACAGGGACATGGATGGCATGTGCCTCCCTGCATGCACTCCAGATAGGACCCTGTAAGGTCACAACACTGACAATGTGGTATTTCATTGAGAAATGTTAAAACTGAATTTAATCACGAAGAAACATCAGATAAGCACAAACTGAATGACTTTACATTCGTACAAGGTAAGAAAGGAATCATATATTTTAAAAATATCAATGTCACAAAAGACAAAGAGTGTTTATGGAAATGTAGATTAAAGAAGACTAAGGAGACAGGACAACAAAGTGATCTGACTCTACGGGGCTTATTGTGCTGGAGGGAAAATATTTATATAAACAACATTGAGTGAACTAAGAAAACTGCAGTATGGAGGACAGAAGAGATAAAACACATTGCATCAACACAAAATTTACTGAGGTTGGTAACTTTTACTTTGTTAGGTAAAGGGAGTTCAGATCTTTAGAAAACACATGCTGAAGTATTTTGGGTGGAGCTCCAATTAAGGGTGGACTGTCTGGAGCATGGGAACCCTCTGGGGTTTAACCTAGCAAAGACCTGTCCCTATTGCCCAAGAACCTTCTTGTGCTTAAACTCAAGTAATTAATGTGGAGATGTGATCTACAGAAGGGACTAATATCCCCATGGGTCACATGCTTGGATTGACTTTCAGAGAAAATAAAAAAGTATGCTGATTCTTCTGTCACTTGGCTTCTTGAGGTCTCCAGTGGACTGCTCCCCTCAGTCAAGATTCTACAACATGGGGATAGAACTTGACATCCTTGATATTAGAGTTTAATCTCCTTAGCTAAATAACCCCAAATGATTTATTATAGCCTAAAGTGAAAAGGCAAGTTCACCTGTCAGAAGGCTTGTCCATCCATCTATTTACTTAGAAGCTAAAAAAAAAAAAAAAAAAAGCAGAACTTGCTTCTGTACATCCCCCAAATATACAAGAAACTAAGAAACTGAACAGAAATCAGCATCCAAGCGGTGACTTCAATGTTTTATGAGGCACTAAGATATTTGTCAAGCCTAGAGATTAAACTGTGCCATAATTTCTTCTTGAATTATTAAAGGACAAAGAAGATGACATCAAAAGTGCTGTTCATTTGGGAACAAATACCTAACAGGCTGCTTATTGAAACAAATCGTTACTAGAAAATCTGGAGTTCAGAAAGGTCTGGATGCCTAAGCTGCACGTTGTGCTGGAGGCTTGGTTTGAAAACACACAGCCAGGAAATGAGAAAGTCCGAAGCTTTATTAGAAGAAAAGGCAATGGGGTCGAGGGCATTTACCTGTCATGGCCTGTTGATCATCCACCGTTAACTTCAAACTTTTTCCTCGGCGAACCACACGCACAGTGTGCCACTCATTATCATTGAGGTTATAGCCAGCAAAAAGGGTCTCGGGACCTTTGCCTGTAGAATATGCCAAACAGTCATTATGGACACTCAGAATTAGTCAAGCCAATGAACCTCACAGAGAGTGAGAGAAAGAGACAAAGAAAAGGGGGGAGTCAGGGAGAGAGAGGAGAGAGAGAAGGAGAGAAAGAAATGAGAGAGAGGAGGAAGACAAAGGAGAGAGAGAAGAGAAACTGGTGGACCAATTTTTCAAGCCCATTAGAGTCATAGCAAGCAAGGAAAATGACAAGTTAACAAACATTCAAATGTGACGATTAGAATCTTTAACCTTATGCATTGATCTAAGGCAAGTGAATTAACCTGTTGTCATAAATAGGCACAGTCAATATAGCATTGGGAAGCCTCCCAATTCATACACATACGTTTTAAAGGATTTTGCAGTTATCACTTAATTGCTAATGGAGCAGTGACAATCATGCCATGTGTGAGACACCTGACCACAGGCCATTAGTTTCCAGCTGAATGGATAACTGGCTGATTAGACTACATCATGAAGGCTCCAGGGATTGCGCTTGTGTGATGGCTGATCTTGGGCTCTTACATCATATACTTACAATAATCACCAAGTTCCTAARTTCATCAGCCCCCTAATTTATGGACTCTTCTGTTGAAAAACTAAGTATAAAAAACTCCTTACTACCAAGTGATCCATGCATTGCAAATCTGTATGGTGGAGGCCCTTCTGTACATCTAGGAAAACATACTGATGTATCAGAGGTGGACAAAACTAATAAATGAGATAGCCATAAAGGGTAAGGATTGAGTTGGTAGGAGAGAAAGTGGTGTTAGCCAACAGTGGAGGAAAGGGATTTCCAGCTAACGCTCAAAATAAAGAGGGCAAGCAGTGCAGCCAACTGAGAAAGAAACTTCCAGCAAATGTACAAAACCCTATGCAAAGAGAATTTAGATAGACTCAGGACAGACACATCACTTTAGAAAGGTATTTAGTGCAAATTACTGAGATGACCAAGTTGGACTCTCTCTTCAATGTAAAAACAAGCAAGAAAAACATTTTTTAATATAAAGGGAAATTATGTTAGAAATAAATATTTCTAGTAATCCAACATTATGATTCATTTAGAAAAATATAAAGTTAAATATATATAATTTCCTGATGGATTACTCTCCCCCCCTTTTTTTTAAATACTAAATCTCATGGGCACAATAAATTAAGGAAGGACATAATATTGTTGAATTTCATGACTTCCCTGAGGATCAGAATTAGGGTTCACAATTTTTTTAACCGAATTCTGCCAACAAAACCAATTTACATATGTCCTTCAAGCATCTAAAGATGGATGCTTGAAGGAATGGATGCTTGAAGGACATATGTAAAGATATAGACCAGGGAGGAGAAAGAAAAAAAGAAGAAAAAAAAAAAAAAAGGGAAACAGGAGCAACCTTAGAGGCCCATTCACATGAGATCAATGTTTGCTTTTAGAACTGTGAGATATCCTCCCCGCCCTTGATTCCTCTCTTATGGTGTTACTGATGACATACATAAATTCTTTCTTTCTTGGTAGGTATGTTTCTGGGGCTTAAAATGAGCCAGAGATATTAACTATATTGCAAAGTAAATTGCCTCAACTCTTTAAAAGAGTATCAACCATCATTAAAATTAGAAATGGTCTCTTGTGTTTCTTTAGAGAAGTTAAATTATACATCCAGATATGACATGAATAAAAACTTTTCTGGATAGAGCAGTTTTGGGAGATTAATCATTGGATAACGAGAGGAAACCTATTGGCTCAGCAACTGCAAAAATACTGTGAGACCAAATGTTGAAAGCAAGTTCCAGGATCAGAGGAACTCTTTCTAGTTTCAATAAAAAAGAAAGAAATGTTAAATAACTCTGCAGCAGCTTAGCATCCTCTGGGCACTAAGGGTCATCCTTAGTTTTGATCTTTGAAAAGAGATTACATCATTTTAAAAAAGCTATTTTTATAGGGGAGATATATTTTTTTTTCCTTAGAAATATGTGCTTTTAAAGCAGCTTCACTCCTTTTCTTTTAATTTGAGATATGGTGTCAAGAAAAAGACGAATAAGGGTGATATCATCCTTTTACCCCATTCTGGGCTTGATCTTGCAGTGAAGTCGTAATGCTTCATCTATGAAACAACTATTTCCATAATAACAGGCACAAAATCCAATTAAAAATAACCCTTTGGTTCATAAAAATCTCTGTGGGCCAACTTCAAGCTTTTTTTCTTGCATTATTAAACATGTGAACAGATTGATTTTGGAAGACAAGGTTTTTTAAAAATGTACTTATTAGTCTCAGTTCAAAACAGTGTTACTCATGTAACATAAAGTGCATTGGAAAGCCCACTGCGCTGGGAGGTAAGAATTGTGGTTGTTAGTTCTTGAGCTCCCACTAACAAAAAATTTGAGGGCTGGTGAGTGTTTATTATATACCAGGCACTTTATCTGTTACCTTATTTCATCTTTACATTATCATTAATTTGCAGATGTGGAATTGAAGGCTTAGAAAACTAAAATAACTTGTCTCAAGGTCACACAGCTGAAAAAAAAAGTCTGAGTGTCGTTTCAAGTCTGACCTCTCAAAGTCTGCATCATTCTCCTGCATTGTTCTTCTGCAAGCTATGAGACCCCTTGCTTAACCACTGGACTTCTCAGCTGCCCCATATCGAACTGAAGAAGGTGGGAAAAATGTTCTTTGGGATCCCTTCCATTCTCTACAGAATGATCACACTGTTAGGAAACCGTACATACACTCTGCATAAGACCTGGCAGAAGAAAATCTTTAAGTAATACAGTGCTCTACCTAGGGATGCTGAAATGGCTGTTACTGGGGACGAGTAGAGAAAAAGAGGCCATCTATTTAGGACCAGTTTGTACTTATAATCACTAATTTTATGAGAACACTCAGCTTCTAGTTATCTCAATATTCCTTAAGAGACAAGATAATCTATCTGATCTTTACAGTTCCTTTAAAATATCTAATTTTCACAGATTTGTACAATATATGGAATTGTTAAAGATGGCATAATTTCTGACTTTTTTCTAAAAACTATCTATTATTCAATTAGAGTTGGACACAATACCTTTATTTATTTATTTATTTTTGTATGGTGCTGAGGATTGAACTCAGGGCCTTGCACGTGCTAAGTTAGCGCTCTACTGCAGAGTCACAACTGCAGCCCTAATTTCTGACATTTTGAGTTGCCAAAATTTTAATGGCAAAGTTATAGTCATTTAAGCTGTTAATGGTCTGAATTCCTTTGGGAATTTCCTTTTCCTTTGGGGTTATCAAAATATCTCAGTTATGCTAACTTCTCCCAGAAATAACATGTGTTATGGACTAAATGTTTGTGCCCCACACTCTAACATTCATATATTGAATCTCTAACTCTGGAGGTGGTGATGCTAGGAGGAGTGGCCTCTTGGAGGTAATTGGATTTAGATGAGGTCATAATGGCAGATCCTCATGATGGGATGGATGCCCCTCGGAAAACAGGAAGCAAAGATAAGGGAGAACTCGGCAACCCTCAGGGGCCAGGAAGGAAGCCCTCACCAAAAAACTGCATCGGCCAGCCTCTGATCTTGGATGTGGCACCTTTCAGAATTATGGAAAAAAAAAAAAACAATGTCTGGTCTTTAAGCCCCCCCAGTTCGTGGTATTTTACTAAAACAGCCTGAATAAACTAAGACACTGAGCAACATTTTAAAGGCTTTTAAGAAAGTTCAAAGCACAGTTCCTTAAAGACATCATTCCTTTTGTTTAATAAAAAATTACAACTTATATGCAATTTTATACTTGATCCTTACTGTAACCTACTACTTAAGCCATATATATATATATATATATATATATATATATATATATATCTTAAGGAAGCAGATTTAGAGAGGTTAAGTGAATTATTATAAGCCTCAGAGGCCATAAGGAGTGGAGCTAAGCCTGAGATTTTGAGATCATTCAACCCCATTAAAATATTCTTCTCACAGAAAATGATCCCATAGGTAGGAGAAGAGAGGAGCACTGAGGGCCAAGTGCCCACAGCTAGTCATCACCAGACTGGGCAGCACAAAGCTTACAGGCTAATGCTATTTTAAAGAATTCCAGTACTTCAAGGGGCATGAGAGACAAAGAAGTTCACTGAGCCATCTACCACAAGAGATAGTGACCCAAAGAGATTCGATGACATCTCCAGGGTCACAACTATATAACTGAAGAGTCCATGTCTCTGGATTCCCAGTTTAGTTAACTTAAAAAAATATCTGGTGAGGTGCTAAGCAAGTCAGTGAGACCCTGTCTCTAAATAAAATACAAACAACAACAACAAAAATAGGGCTGGGGGTGTGGCTCAGCGGTCAAGTGTCCCTGAGTTCAATCCCTGGTGCCAAAAAAACAAAACAAACAAACAAAAAAAACCTACCTGTTATATTATGCTGATCTAGAGCGAATGTCCCAAAATCTATGTCAATGATTTGGTCATTAACTGTTATTTGTTTTGCATCAAAAGTGAAAACTCAACAAAAAATTAATACAGGTTAGTAAGAATGTCCATTCTTTTTAAAAGAGGTTAATCTAAAACTACAAAATAACTATTTCCTGGTCAGGGATATTCATTGGGTTTACTCATAATTCTGTAGCTAATAATTTATTAATAACACATGGAAGTAGTATTTCAGTTGTTTCCTTAATTCAGTTCAAGTTGACTGTCCTTACACAACCTACCAATGAATTCCAGGTGTCTCTAAGATTTATCCCTAAGAAGCATTGGAATTAACTCCAATTGAGATATAGGACAAATGGAGGAAGAGAGGAAGTATATGTGTGTAGGGGGGAGGGGTTACTTTTCATCTTTATTTGCATATCAGTGCAAATATTAGGTCTTTTTAAAGCATAGTCTCAGAAGAAAGAAAATGGTATGGTATAATTTATAGTTTTTCACTATGGCAAGGGATGACAGAGAAAACTAGATTTTGTCCCTATTTGCTCTCAACTAATTCTGTCACCTTGAACAAATCA